CGGTGAGTAGTGTGATATTCTTACTAGATTAGTATAGCTCACCTTTTTATTAACTATTTTATATTAAGATCAAGAACCAAATCTCAATCAACAAGAAGGTTGTGAATAGTTCACCATCCGAATTCTCTTTAAAAGTTAGTGAAGATCGTCCTAAAATATTGAGTTATTGACTTTTTGTTTATTTTCTTGATTATCATAATTTCTTTTAGAAGAGACATTCTCGTATCCCTATTGTACATTCTAAATTATTGTATAAGCAATGTAAACCTAAAACTCTATTGTTTCTCTTCCCCATTTAATTCATGACTTTATTTTTAAGTTTCGGACCTTCACACATATTAAAAACTTTTAAATAAAATTATCCTTATAAAATTATATCAATAGCTACATAAATATAAACTTCAATAATGATTAAACAACTATGCAAAAAGCAATTTAAAATTTTTTGAAATTTTGCCTTTTTGAATACAGGTAATTTTTTTAAAAAAAGTTAATCACTTGATGCGTTTCAAAAAATGGTTGTTGAAGTCTAAATATATATATATTTATTTATTTATTTTTACCGCATTAAGCTATGTCATCAACAAAAAATTATATATATTTATCAATAAGTTTTTAGTAATTAAATACATTTCTACATTATTATTATTATCTCATGTAAAGCTCGAAGGCATCTCTTGAAATTATGAATTTTATTTCTTCACTTAGATGGTCCATTTGATTATATGAGACAACATATACTTGGATTTATATTATTAATATATAAATTGTATCTAATATGTTTAATTATACGATATCTAACTAATCATAAAATATTTTTAAAATTTATGATTAATATATGTATGTATATTATACATGATATTTCATTCATTCTATATTTATAATTAATATTATTTTAATTTATATAAGACAAAGAACTATATAATTAATGATACATAAAAATTATAGGTAATTAACCTATATTATTTATATTCAAGAAACATAATTTTTGTTGATAATTATTGTAAATGCTTTGTATATAATTTATTTAAAAAATTAAAGAAAAGATAATATATTTAGCACTTAAAAAAGGTTTCTATAAAATAGTGGGGCTAAATAAAACGCATCCTAAGTTCCGACCCAGTGGGAGGGGCATATGAAGTGAAGACAGGATTGCATATATAGACAAGTTTGTCTACAATTATATTAACTTCTTTTAATATATTATATATATACATATATAATATGTGTACCAGAACACGTGTATATATTATACATATCAGAACCTGTATCTGTTATACATTATACATAAACATATTTCTACGTATAATATACTTATACTATAATAATATATAATATTATGTACATATATATATTAATATACATAAAAAAATTATTTAAATTTATTTTTTTTATATATTTTATTTGTAATTACTTTATTAAATACACTATTTCTATTCCTATTATTTATTTATATATTCATTTTTAATTTTAAAATCAACAATTATTTTGACTAAACAGTTACCTTAAATTTTTTAAAGCAAAAATAATTTTTATATTATTTTTATCAAATACTTTTAGTTAATAATTTTAATGGAAAGTTTGAAGTCACAGCGCAAATATAATTTTGGCAAAACGCAACCAACCACATAATATCGAGCTCCACTCCGGATAGATCAGACAGGATGCACTGAGGTGAGTTGACTCCACCCGACTCGACTATTACGAGTTACGATGGAAAGAATAATGCAGATACCATACGAAGCCACGGTCCGAGTGATGCTAGCTTCACTGGAGCGCAGTCTGCTACCAGATGCTGTTATAAGAAGGCTTACTCGCTTGCTCTTAGCAAGCCGTCTCCGATCCTGTTGCAAGCCCTCCGCTGAACTCCAACTTTCACATCTCCTCGAGTTCGTCCGCTGTAAACAACAACTAATCTCTCTCTCTCGCTCTGTTTGTGTGTGTGTGTGTGTTTACGATCCCCAAACTTTGGTGTCTTGAAATGAGGGAAATGAGGCTTTAACGTGAAATCTCAAATTGGCTGCGAATTCGATTAAGTCTGAACCTCAGATGAGTTAAGAGTTATTTTGGATTATGAATTTCTGGTGCAATGTAATTTATCATCATTGTGTTTGATGCAGCTTTGAGAGAGATGCCTATAGCAATCAAGACTGATAAACCTAAATCCCAACACTACGAATTGCCAACCTCTTTCTTCAAGCTCGTTCTCGGAGAAAATCTCAAATACAGGTGGTTTACTTATACATGCCTTGCGTTTTTAAAGTTTAGGTTATACGTGTTGTAGAGCAAGTGTTAATTTAGTTAGAATAGGATGGAGATTCTATCTTCGGAAATGACAATTAACACACTATTATTACTCCACAAACATGATTTTACGTATTTTGTGCTAGATTTAACTATTTTGTATTTGCGATAGAGGAGAGAATGAAGCTTCTTCCAGCTTTTTGGGGCCTGAATACGCTGACTTTTATTTTTGATAGGCACGTTAGCAGTAACTTTGGTAATTAAGTTGATGTCCCCACTCATGTCTTATATGTCATTTTACTGTATAGAACTTATTATGTAGTCAGTAGAGATTGTAGTACTATTAATCATGGGCGTGCTTTTTTTTTTGTGGTATTAGGGAGAACTTTTCAACTAGTATACAGAGTAGTATATATTGATTGAAGTGAGATTACATCCTTTAACACCCTCCTTCAGATGGAACCATTGTTGAGTTGGTCATTATTTTGTTTTTGAGGAGAACTATTTTGTTTTGAGGATGAAAAAGGACAGTAATTATAGTGGAATCTTCTAGCTTTATCTATTTTTTACATGAGGTGTATATGTACAGCTGCTGTTACTTCGGGGACAAATGTAGAAGCCTTGAGGATGCTGAGAAAGCAATGTTGGAGATGTACTGCCAGAGATCACAGTTGAAGGATGGTCACACTGTCCTGGATGTTGGCTGTGGATGGGGCTCACTCTCTCTTTACATTGCCCAAAACCACCGAAATTGCAAGATTACCGGGATTTGCAATTCCACCACACAGAAAGCTTTTATAGATGAACAATGCAGGTTGGATTTCACATTTCAATTATTCAAACCTTGATCAATTATTTATACCGATGCCTCTGCTAATTTATTAAGAAAAGAATATGGCAACTTGGTTGATACAAGTTAGTATCTTCCCCGGCTACATTATGGTAATGCTTAGGAAACATACTACATATATAGATCCCAAAGTGTGGAGAGTATAATTACTGCCTGCTTCATATATTTTGATCCTGAACATTGATTACAAAGACGAAAAGAAAAATGACAGTATATTCTTAGCAGGAATCTTCAGCTGCAAAATGTGGAGATAATTGTGGCAGACATTAGCACATTCGAGATGGAGGGATCTTATGACAGAATATACTCTATTGAAATGTTTGAGGTTAATTTTTTTCCCACAATACTGGAAAAAAAAAATTTAATGGATGTCATCCCACATCAACCAATTATAAGAATTAACATTTGTGTGTATGCATGTACAGAATAACAAGATTAGATAGTTTTGAATAAAGAATCTAACACTATTTCAAAGTCAATTCTGCCTCATATGTCATTACGGCCTTGCCTTTTGCGTGAAGGAGGGTGTTAAGCGATGTAAATCTACATAATTTTGATTAAGAATCTACAAAGTTCATGATATATAGTGATATCTAATTAGAATTTGGCTTGTTAATATTTTTGTTAACAGCATATGAAGAACTATGGGGAGCTTCTGAAGAAGATATCCAAGTGGATGAAAGAGGATGGCCTCCTCTTTGTTCATTACTTCTGCCATAAGGCCTTTGCCTACCACTTCGAGGCACGCCCAATACTCATGCTCGCACTGCTATTTCTTCCTTATCTATATATGCATTCATAGTGATAATTTATTATCCATATGTGAATTCATTAGGAAATAAATGAAGATGATTGGATCACTAGATACTTCTTCACTGGAGGTACAATGCCCGCAGCGAATCTCCTTCTTTATTTCCAGGTCAGCCTCTTGAATTTTACTTCATTTGTATGCTGTTCTTAATTCAAGTCTATTTCATTTTCATTATATTCTCATCTTAATTATTTAATATATAAAATTTAGTCATAATATTATTTTTTTGCATACTTCAACTAAACTCTATTTACATCATCAATTCAACTATAATAGAATTTAGTCCTAATATTGAGAAATGAATCAAGAGAATATCTAACTTAAATTAGATGTAGAATTAATTAAATTAGAATGTTATGTTTCATTTAAATTTTTACTTTGTTATTATTATTTATATTTTGTAACATTGAAATTTGAATGAAACTCTCAAGTAAATTGTTTGAGCAGGATCATGTTTCAGTTATTGATCATTGGCTTGTGAATGGGAAACATTATGCACGGACAAGGTAAGGCTTTGTTTGAAATAGTTTACTTTTATTATAAATCATTTTAGATATAAATGAATATATTTGAAATATTTTTTAAATTTAGTTAAAACTGCTATGCTTGAAGAGAATGAAGATATTATTCTAAAAGTCATTTTCAAGTTTCTACCTTGTCTAAAAAATGTAAAATTCATTTATAAATTCTAACAATTGCTTGATAAAACTTGCAAGGGATTTTGCTTATTCTTAGACAAAACTTATTTCAAAATTAATTTTAATTTGAGATTCTTATTTGTTTATGAGAAAAAAAATTGTCCGGTGGATATGGATAATGAGATTCATAGCATAATTTAAAATTTTAAACTATTATATAAATAAAATAATTGAAAACTAAAAACTACAAGAAATTCTAAAATATATAACATTAATGTGAGAGATAATTAAGAAATAAAATCTTTATGAATAAATAACACAAAAACTTAGTGGAAGAATCGCATCAAATTCTGAAGTTTCTAGATTCTTTTGATCAGATTCGCTGTCTATAAAGAAAGAACTGATTTTTGTGGGATAGAATTGAATTTACAATATTCATAAAATTCTGAGATATTATTTAACGTGAAAAACACCGGTGCAGTGAAGAGTGGCTGAGAAGAATGGATGAGAAAATGGGTTCCATAAAGCCAATAATGGAGTCGACATATGGGAAAGATGAGGCGTTGAAGTGGACTGTTTATTGGAGAACATTTTTCATTGCTGTTGCTGAGCTTTTTGGCTACAACAATGGAGAAGAATGGATGGTCGCACATTTCTTATTCAGAAACAAATAAATTAATTAAATAATTCTACAGTGCCCCATTATTTCAATAAACTAATAAACCACGGCATCTCCAGGGTATTGGTTCATGCGACCAAGACACAAATGTATTTTTTACTCTCTAATTAATTATTTCTATTTTAATCTTTTTGCACGGTTGCTGTTGTATGATAGATAGCTTATATCTTGCTCGATAAGAGTCAATACAAATTCATGGTTGTAAAACTAAGGGGATACAAATGAAATTCATCTAATTATACATTAAATGTGTAAATTATGAAAACAATTTTTGCATGAGTAATGAAATTTTGAATTTTTTTATTTTAAAAAAAAAATCTGAAAATTAGAATATGAAAAAGCAAGATAATAGTTCCATTTATTCAATAGAAGAAAATATAAGTGACAGACCAGCTTCAGTGGTATGGTATAATTGTCTATGTGGCCAAGGAATGGTAATCAAGTAAGTCTAATCTTTCCTAACAGTACACAACCATAAAGCTTGGTTTAAAGTTCCAATCATATTGGCAGAATCTTAAAGGTCTAATAATAAAAGTCTGGTCACTAATAGCTGACATTATCCCTCATCAAACTATTAACCATAAGGCTTGGATCAAAGGTCTACTAATCGTAAAGGCAAAATCTTAAAAGTCTAATCATAAAAGTCTGGTCATTAATAGCTGACACTGTCCTTCACCAAAACGATTATTATTAGTTTTATGACCATACCATAACCGTGCTATTACTATGTTCATTACCACCAAAAGTTATTAATTTGCTCTTAGCTCTCCTTCATAATATCATGTTATATAGACATATTCAGGTTAAACGTATATTTCTTTCTCTCTACTCTTACATTCTAACTCCTTTCGACTTGCATTCCCTTTTTATTTACTAACTTAGAGTTGAAGTGTCCGCTCTCCAATAAAGCTCAAGAGACACTATTGGTAATCTTTTGAATACTACGACCATCTTAATTGTCAAGCTAAGTCTAAGCCTATACCTCTCCAATCAAGTCTAAACTAAGCTTGGACTTGCACACATGAGATCACTTTAGCTGTTAGCATTACCTAATGGGGCCTACACCAAATATGGGCTTAGAAATGTAGGACCAATTCATGACCTTCGGCCATCAGTCTTGCCTAGCCACATTGTGTAACATCCAAAGATTGTTTGACATCATCAATTAGCATCATCTGTGTGAATGAGTGACCATGATAAATAGGAGAAACAAACAAACAACGTAGAGAGAGAATTTATATAGTGTTAGTACGAGGGATTCACCTCCCCACAATCTCGTTCCCCATCAAGAATACAAAACTCGTTTAAATAGTGGAGGAATGACACTAAAAAATTGATTGGAACGGTAACTAAAAGACGCAAGGAGGCAACTGTTACTCCTCATTAAGCAGGGTGAAAACATACTTGAAAGAGAGAATGAGCAATGTTTAAGTGCAAGAGGATATAAATCAAAACCAAAATAAAATCAAACATCATGACCCTATACAGTAGAAGGCAAACATAGGTAGCCAAGCTTGGCAAAAACGAGGAGGCACTAGGAGGGAGGTTGAAGGGGTAGAATAACCTGGCAACAGGAACAAAATAAGAATTGATATAGCAGTTGACATGACTCTCCTAAAAAAACGCAAAGCCAAATTGTTCAAGAATGACCACTGCAATCTCAAGTATAATGGAGTATCATTTCTCTGATAATTTTTTTTTTGAAATAAACCTTTCTCTCATAATTTGATGGAGAAGCTTGCTTCATCGAAGTTCAAGCTGCCATATCTATTCTAATATGATAGAAAGAAGGACACTGTTGATGACTTCAACCATTATATAACTGGAAGGTTCCAATGGGGTAGAAGTCATGTTGGTATAGAGGATTCCCTTTCACTTTGAAGAAGGGGTCAGCAAATGGTTGCATACACTCAAGCTAAGAGTTCTATATTTAAGAACCTGACATATTAGATCTTGAAGCACTATATGAGCAATCTAAGGCTTAAATAGCTTAGTGCTTCCCTCTTTTGAATCCGCCAGAGGAAGGAAGAAAATAACATAATTATATCATAAGGTTCCATCAGGAGCTGTGAGCTATGGACAAGTTGAATGAAGATGCGGCTATAACAATAGCCACCGATGGGGTAAGAAACTATGGATTTGCTTTCTTATTTTCTAAACCTCCAAAAACTTTGATGGAACTTTCAAGCAAGACAAATGTACATAAATGGAAGCACCAACCGAAAAAAAAAAAGACCATGCGATGATGATTTGTTAGCTTATGAGGAGAATCTAAGCCAGTCACAAGCATATAGATTGATCCATGCAAGCTTGGTGCCCTTGAGCACAAATCTCGATGATGCTACAAATGCTATGTGGAAAACAAAGAGAGGGGCCATGGAGTTTACAATCAAGATTAGCCATCTTGACAATTTGCTGGAGTTATACATGTCATAACAACCTATAGCAAAGTTAACTCGCAGATGATCAAAAGCCTGTCTAAGAAAGTACTATCAAGTAGTTTTATTATATAAATCTTGTTTTTGCATGTGTTTATTGTTACATACTTCTCTTGTAAAAGTTTGTCCCTAGTTCTCTAAATTGATGATGGTTTCAACACCTTAAAAAAATTTGAAAAAGAAAACTCTCGAAAATGAACTTGCTAAGAAAAACCTCACAACCCAAGCTATGTCAATAAAATATCTATTACAAAGAGGAAAGAATGCTCCCAAATCTTCAAGTATAGCAAGTCAGAGTCAAAGTTTAGAAAAACTAAAGCCTACGGGGCATAAAGTATAAACAAACGTGTATGGAAGAAATGTAAAATACAAAGGATATAAATGGACAGCAAAAACAAACAAGAGTCTTATCTTACAAAATAAAAATAAACATAGATATGTTAAACTAATACTATAGTACTTGATTTCATACAATCAAATCTAAGATAGATTCTAATTTTTATTAAAACCTAAACAAGTTGAACTAATGAGATCATGCTTCTTTAAGTTACACAGTTTAGTTTTTTTTGTTCAAACATATGTTAAAAGCGCCCTATTAAAAATACCATTTTGCGCTTGAACAAGAAAAATTGTTAAAGTTAACAGATATTTTGGTTTGAATCATTAGTTTAGCACATGCTAACAATAAAAACTTTTATTAGATTCAATTAAATTGCTGGCAATAATTTGATGTATTTGGTACAATACATGAGGGCTTTTTAGATAACTCCGCAAAGTTAATCACGGAATGCCTCTTTGGAAGTAACTTTAATCTGATAATTTTTGTTAAGAAAAAAGGAATCACAATTCAAGGCGAATTCATTCTTCATCTAATTCATCAGTAAGACAGTTGTCTTTAGGCAGAATGGATGTGTTTATGAGGACTCCTAAGACTCTAATGGCAGCTCCGTTTTGGTATAAGTTACACATACAATTTTCTACTAAGCAAAACCGAAAATCTGATGCTGAATCTTGTCCTGTACATCCAATAACTAGGTAGTTTTGCCTGAAGAAGCATCCCCAGATTATAATCAAAGTGAGAAAACAAGAAAAAAAAAACAAAAGAAAAACCACTTTCTTCCTGAAGTCTTACAATATATAGAGACAGAAGGAAAGCTGAAAGTTATTCAGACCCTGCTTAGTCTGAACAAGACTCTTTGAATTTTTATTTTCTAAATCTATAGATATTTATACACAAAAATATATATGATTATTGAAAATAAAATAAAATCTGAAAGATAATAGTAAAAATAGGAGATGCCCTAAAAAATTTCTTACTTTTTCTAAACTAATGCCACACTGTTCACTGTTACTTACCAAATCATAGCATCATTTTGAACAACTACAATATTTTCTGTACATATATATATATAAATTTAGAATATAAAAATTTAAAACATTTTTCGCAAATAAAAAGGGGGATTTTCTAATGCCAAGAGTAATAGGCACAAGGATTAATAAGTTAAAAGACTGCAACGTTATGTATATGGCAAACAACTATGTAAGCATATACAAGTGTATACGCATGTGATGTGGTGCTTCCACATGCAAGATGTAGCGCCCAAGGAAAATTGAAGAAGAAAAAAAAAAAAAAAAAAAACAACGCTCGTGCCACATCAGCAGACCCAGTCAGCAGGCCTGGCCAACCAGGACCTGCCACGTGGCAAAACCACGTCGACCGGGGACGGGCCACGTTGGCGATCCGCGTGCGCGCGATCTGAACGGCCCAGATTTAATCGCACGGACGGCGCAGATTTAATCAAAAACGGACGGCACAGATTTAATCAAAAACGGACGGCCCAAATTAAATCAAAATGAACGGCTGAAATCAAAAGGCAAAAGGGTATAAATAAGACCCCCACACCGGACCCCAAACCCTAGCCGCCTGCCCTCGCCGGAGAAGACGAACCAGAAACCGGCCGCCGCCACCCGCCGCCGCACCGGAGAGATTTCCGACCGCCGATCGAGGTAAATTTCATACCCCCGACTCGTTTTTCCACGCTGATTTCCCCAGTGGCCAAATTGAAGCCAAAATTCAGTCCAAACGGCCGGAAAACACGGTCGAAAGCCAGCGGCGCCGCCGCGCCCCTTTTCGGTTTTTGCCTCCGATGAGGCCCTTCCCGGCCTCCGTTTAATGCAATTTTTATATCACCGTGATCACCATTCTTTTCTTTACAGGTTGATCAGAGCCGAATCACCAAAACACGAACTTCACCGGAGAGCCGCCGCACCCGAGAGCACCGCCGCCGGTAAGCTTCGGTTTTCCGTAAATTTTCGGCCCCCCGAGGGCCGTAGGGTTGTTTTATCGCAGGAACCAATGCGAGTGTGGCCGAATTTGGCCGGAAACGGCCGAAAACGGCCAACCTGAGGCAAACCGCCGCCGCAAGCGGCGGCGCCGTCGCCGGAGCACGGCGGAGCCGCCGTGCCGGAGTTGCGATATTGGCCGAAAGGGGCCCTGGGCCTAATTTGGGATTTTTTGGAACACGTGCAGGTACCAGTAGTGCGTTTCAGTTCCCCGAGAAAAATTCAGGAAAAATTAGGGACAGCCTGCAAGCGCATTGTGAAGCCGTGTTCGGAACCCGAAACGAGTAAGGACCCCTCACCCTATTTTCTATCACGGTTTTAAAGTTCAATAAATGATAAAACGGTATTTCATGAA